CGCACCTGTGCATGAATTTGTGCACCGGGCCTCTAGTTTGGAATATAAAATTGAAACTTATGAACACAAACAGCAGTGTGGTGGTTGCCAGAGGGAGGGGGTGAGGGAAGAAAGGGGTCTTAATATAAGGTGACAGGAGAAGATTTGCCTTTGGGTGGTGGGCACATGGTTCTATATACAGATTTTGTAAATGAGTAATCCACACATGTAACCTATATGTTCATGTAGACTAATGTCACCCCAATAAAAAAAAATTTTAAAAAATGGAAAGCATGTGGATTTGTATATCTGAATGAGGACAGGGCAGAGTGCAACCTTTCAGAACATTTCTAGGAAAAATAATAATAATAAAAAAACAACTACAAAACATTTTCAGTAGGATGACACAGAAGAGAGACCTATAGGCACACATGGTATCAAACCAGGTTACTGAATATTTGTATACACAAACTTGAACAAATTCTATAACCTCTCTGGGGCTCAGTATTTTCATGAAAAACAGTGGCTGGGACTGGGCTAAACTGTAAGAGCTGCTAACATTCTATGACACTGTGATTTGAGGAACTCAGGAAGGCCCCACCCCCACATCTTTTTCTCATCAGTTGGGAACTCTATCATCAGGAATTTGTTCGTTAGTGCTTCTAGCGACTGTTCCTGAAATTACTACTCAAGGGGAGAAATTCTGATGAGATGAAGAGAAAATTCTCTATACTATACCTTTAAGAACAGTGAAGAGAGGCCGGGCCTCGTGTTGCTATGAAGCAGTTGAAAGGTAGTGGTGGCAACAACAAAGACAAGAACGGTTGAAGTCACAGTTTTGAGGACCTCCTAAGCTTCCTCCTTTCTGATATATGCAACCAGATAATCACATTTCCCCTCTTCCCGTGAACACGAGGAAGCCTAGAGCAAACTCAAGTTCAGTCATGGCCACTGTGCTAAACTTTACAGTTCCCATATTTGTTTGCATTTCCCCCCGTCTTAATTTTTCTATTTCTAGTTTATCACATGTCTTTTGTTACAAGCCAGCTGAAATCTGTTATGACAAGAATAAATATAATCAACACAAATATACATATTTGAATTTTTTCTCTAACTGTGGTGATATAAACAGAAGTATTAAATATGCATATACACTTCTCTCTGATTATTTATTTTTTTAAGAATTTAGTGTTAATTTGGCATGGGTAGGGGAGATAAAGATGTAAATGATCAGAATAGTTGGTAAAATTAAAGAAAACAGAAATCGCAACAATATTTGTACCGTCTTTATTTGTAAAAATAACCATCTGAATGCATGTCCATAGTATATTACAGTTAAGTACGTCATTACATTATTCGCATTCAGTAGTTGAAAAAGTATTAAACTGTGCTTGAGAAGATTCAATTGGTTCAAAGTCATTCACTGAACTCAGTCATTTTCCTCATTTTTACAGTCATGGCATTTACCAGAGTCATTCGACCTCAATTTACATAAGAAAACATTACAGACAAAATCCCACTGAAATCATCAAACAATATTTTATGCTGTTACAAATATATTAGGCAAAATAGAACACTGGCACCAGATTTGTATCATCGTGCTTCGCAAAGATATATTGCACATGCTAAAGCATAAAACATGGAGACACACTACCAACCCAAATATACTTGCATTGAGCTTTTAGAACACTGCATAAGGAACGCGTAGAATTACATTGTGTACACACACTCAGATTGTCACTATCTTGAAACGCTTTCCCCCTGTAACACTGACCTATGGTTTACGGTTTGGTAAGAAGAAAGCATTTTAGCACTGCAAAATCAAACAGAACTCCTAGAGAACACTTCGGCTTATCCATTTCCATTTCAAAGCAGGGAAAAGGGGAACCAGGGGAAAAAAAGACACTTTATACATTCAAAGAAAGGCTGAAATGAAAACTCACTGGTATTATATTGCTCTGATAACACTCAAGTGAAAAAAATACAAAACATTTCACAGAACATTTTCAGAATATACAGATATAAAAAGGCACTCTACCTTCATAGTACAAGACAAAAGGGAAAAAAGGGGGATGAGTTCTTCAACCAACACAACAGACAAGCAAACCGAGTTGCTCAAAGGACAAAGCATAACTAGTGCAGCGAATCCGTGTGCTGTTCTTGCTCTAATTTAATAACAAAATAATAAATCAAGCAGCTGTGTACTGCCTAAAGTACCAAAACATACTATGGTGCCCTTTTAGTAGTGATACATAGAAATCCCCTGAGCTATTTACTGTAGAATCGTAGCAGGTTTTAGGCAATGTGGAGACAGTAATGTATTTACCACGGACAGGCAGACACTGGCGAACAGGTGAAGTGCCATGAAACATGATCCCTGTGGCTGTGGTTAAAATCGAGTCGAAAAAGAACACAGGTAGGTAAAAAGCACGAACCAGCTAAGACTCGATGAAAAGCACAATGTTTTCTGTTATGTTTTTTTCTTAGAAAGCTATGTTGCAAATCTAATGTTATCTCTAAGAGATGTACTTGACAGATACAGAACTCAGAGTTTTTAAAGCCATTTCTCAAAGGAAAAGAATTGGCCAGGGGAAGGGGGGTGGGGGGGGAGCAAGAGGAGAGATGGATTCAATGAACAGTTCAGAGTAAGCGTGACTTCATGTTGCTCCTTTGTCCGCCTTCTTTCTGTGAGGAAGGGGTGGGGGGCGTCCAAAGCAGCTCCGCGGAGATAAGGCCCAGGCCTGCATCCTGCTGCAGCGCTCCTGCCCTCTGTGAGGCTCCCCGGGGCCCTGTCACCGCTGCGCCACCACTGAAGCGGCCGTCTCTTCGCCTGCTTTCTACGCCAACGGAGCAAGATTTCCATTCACTTCTAGAAAAAGACGCCGCAGTGTATCGTGCTTCTCAGCACTGGCTCTCCCTCATGCTCAGGGTTTTGGCAATGATGAGGTCATTATTACTCATGAGCAATTTACCTCCTGCAAAAAAATTCATCTTCTCTAAACAAACAAAAAGGACAGGGGAAGGAGGGGAATGCAAACACAATGTCGGAAGTCCTCTGGACAGCTCTCCTCCGTGAAGAACCCAACGTGAGCGTCTCATTCAATCCGGGTATTAAAAGAGCGAGACGAAGTCTCTTGCAGTTAGATGAGAAACAGAATACAGAACCTGTATTTGATCCAGATACGGCCGAACGCTGTTGTAAAAATATCTCACATACACGATGAGACTGCAATTTCCAGGGTGAAAGGGACCCAGTTATCAGATGGTTAGTACTCCCCTCACACAACGCTTCCTTCCCCCGGTGGGAATAGCGCGAGCTGGTGATTGTTATTTCTTCTCTTGGCACAAGTGTCCACCCACTGATGCAGTTTCTCAGGAGTTTACTGGGACCACGTGGGAGTTCAGTGCATTCGGGATCCTTTCTGGACTTTTCTTTTGGCCACGTCTGTGCATATGATCCACAACGCGCTTCAGGTTCATCTGGCAGAAGAGCAGAAGGACTCCAATGTCTTCTAAGCCCTAGGTTGGCCACAGACTGGGGCTGAGTGATGGCTGCGGTGCCCTCTCCAATCCACGTGGGAGATCATGAGGATCCGCTGAGACCTTAGCAGTGGAAATGCCGGGCGTGGCCCAGGCCTGCTGGCCGGGCCCAGGGCTGCTGGCTGGCCCAGGGCTGCTGGCCGGCCCAGGGCTGCTGGTCGGCCCAGGGAGGGCCCTGTGTGTTTTTCTGCTTTTTTGTTTTTCCAAGTAAGACACACAGCAATGAAAAGGGAGAACGAACAAAGGACGCTCCCTCAGCATTTGTTTCATTTCCAATAAATATAAACACATTTACATCAAAAGTATATGAACATTTTCTCTCGTCTGGCAAAAAAAGTAAGCCGTGGTCAACACATCATCCGTTACAAATGGTAAGCCATCCACTGGAAATCTCTGTCATAAGAAATATAAAATACAACAAAGACTCTTACGCAAAAAGATTCCATTTTAACTCCATAGAAAAGCTACTTCAGTTCTCACTTTCACTGCGAAGAAAAACCAGTGAAGTCTTCCATTCTCGACGGAAGCATTTTGGTCCTCCTGTAGAGCTGGTTGATGAGATACAGACAGAACTATATACATGTGTGTGCACGTGTGTGTGTGAATGGTTCTGGAAGAGTCTCATTCTTCTTTTTGTACAGCTATTCCCGGGGTGGGGCGGGGTCCGTTGGACCTAGAAGCTTTGGCAGAGGGAGCAGACACAGGGTTCACCAGGTTGATTTCATCAGCACGCAACTACCACGGGCTCTCCTCTCCACGTCCCCCACTCCTGCCACCTGCTCTGCCTCTCTCTGTCCCCTGCTGCAGCCACACCGGCCCTCACTCAGCACGACCTCAGCTGAGAAGCTCCTGGAATATTTTACTATCGATGAGCAAGGCCGATGGTCCTGATGCTCTTTAGAAGTTACTGTTTGTCTAAGGATGAATCAGTAAGGGCAGTTCCATAGCAAACCTGCATGGGCCTCCAGGTGTGGGTGCAATCTGCCTTTCCCCGGCAGGGTAACAGGCAGCCCTGGATGCCATCGCTCGGGCGGACATAAGCCACAGGCTTGTTATGGGGAGCAGTGGGCGCTGTGTTTGTGTTAAAGAAAAAACAAGCAAGTCTTGTTTTCAATGAGTTTTTCTCCTTCATTTGGCAACTTCAACAAATAGCCTTGGGAAGAAGTCCTGGCTATTGAAGGGCTCACTCTAGGGAGGACACGGATCATCGATCTCCCTTAGAAAGGTGACTACAGGCATGATTTCCAGAGAGAAACACGTTTACCTTTGGGTTCTAGTGAGGACGTAAACAGCAGAGGGAGAAGAGGTTGGAGGCTTTTCCTATCCACCCCTGCCTCCCCTTCCCCCTGGGGACATGCGTGATACATTTCTGACAACTCACTGCCAAGTGAGTATGTGAACAAAACAAATAAAAAAAAAAACACCACACTTTATAGGGGACAACAGTTCCCTCTCAGTGCATTATCCCCAAAGAAAAAGAATTCAATGCATTTTTTTTATTCCTTCTTTAAAATGAGAGGTAGACTTTCACAGAAGTCTCTTAGAGCTAAGGAAAGCATGAGACAGATCAAAAGCAGGGCCCATCCGTGTGAGTGCTTGGTCCTCCGGCCTAGCTGCCCTCCCTCAGTTTGATGAATGAATCCCTTCTCTACCGGCTTCTGGTAGCTCGGGCCCATAATAACACTGGAACACGACCTAAACCTGGAATCCGAGCTTCTTCCCCTTCCTCCAACAGGGTCGATCAAGGGAAAACGTTTACAGTCCAAGGTCAAAAGGTTTCCGAATCAGAATCGTTTTCATTGTACCCATCCTCCGAGCCTACGTTGTTACTGCACAGGCTAACCATGCTACCCAGGTTGGAGAGGGTCGTCCTGTTCAAATTGTCTTTTTTAAAACAAACCAGGTTGACAGCCGTCATTGTACTGGAAGGAGAAAAAGGCATCATGGTAGCCAAAATGAGGGCCAGGCAGTCAGCCACGTCTTTGTTAGGAGCGCAAGCCAGGGCCGGGGTATGACCTGGGCGTAAATGCAGACAAGGCAGTGGTTAGTCTGAGCATCCACAGTACATCTCATCTGACCTCCCACGGAGATGTATGTTGAGTTAGCAATCATGCAGGCAAAGGAAGGAGTTACTTCTCACAGGGCATGCTAGGGGTGAGGTGGGAGGGGCCTAGAGGGGAGGCATTCTCGGGAGGGTTGGGGGATCCTTTTCAGCTTACGTGACAACGACAAGCACTATATTATCCAACATTAGGCAGAATTCCAGTCTTTGTCTAGTGAATGGAAACACGAGGGGGGGTGGGGCCGGGGACACAATTCCACAAAAAAACAGCCACGGGACAGCCAGGAAGGGGCTCCCACTGGCGAGCACACACACTCACACCGTGGGCCTCGGCCGGGGCCGGAGCACGCTCATTCTGAGAACAATGGCTTTCCATTGTAGGTGGTTGTGTGTCAGATTCTACAATTAACTGGCTCTAGAATCATGTGAGGAGCTCAGAAACAGGCAGGCACTGGTCATTTGTCGTTGAACATGTACCATCATTTAAAAAAAAAAAACTTAACAGAATTTTAAAAAATAGCAACATTGCCAACCTAAAGGCAGCCGAGGTGGGGGAATCGCGATGGTTGGCATAGTCATGCCCTGCTCTACCATTTAGGCTGGATGGCTGCCATCCGGAAGGGAGAGTGAGCTCAGAGCACGAAACAGATGCGCAGGGAAATAGATACTCGTGGATGTCATTATGGCTGCCTTAGTCCGCTTTGGTTCCAGGCCATCCTGTCCTCTCTGCTGGCCGGAGTTGCCACTACTCGCTCATTTACTCCAGAGGAACCGGCTCAATAAAACCGAACTTTTTGTTGTTTTGTTTATCAGCGCTTAACCTCATTTCTGCTTCCCCCTCCTCGCCCCTCTTAACAGATTATTCCTTCTCTGGTGTGAAAACAAATAAGAATGGACGGATATCTTAACGTCCTCTGCCACGAAGGTCTGTGATGAGTCAAGGAATAGGATTGTGGGGCTGTACTAAAGTGCCCCAGATGTTCCGAGGTCTTTGGGATGCAGCTAAGCTCCGAGACAAGCCACAGTCCCACTGGCCCAAGGTCAGTAAGGGCTGGATGAGCCTCGGGTGTAGCAGACTTACACCAGAGAAGCGAAAACTATGTGTTCTGGTCTCTGGTCATTGTGGAGAAAAGCTGTAGGCCTCTGCACGCCAGCCCCAAAGTCTACAATGGTGAGTAGAGGGTGAGGGAAGGGGAGGCAGGAAAACCAGACGGATGGAGTAACAGCGAACTTTCTGCATCTCCTAGATGAATCGGGCCAGGGACGGGGCAGGGAACATGCTAGGGGAAATGGGGCCGCAAAACCAAACTAACAGGAGTTACAGCTAATGACGCCATAGGGCTGCTTACTTCTGAGCAATGGGCATGAGCTGCTAATTCCAATACCTGTAATAAGCAGTTAATTGAGTTACGTTAATGCATTTTATTATACGACGTTAATTAAATGCCACGATTCATGCCACATTTTGAAAAATTTACTTAATTAGTAAATATCCAGAAGTCCCGCGCCTGCTCCCCAAGGCTAATAGGCATTGTGCTTCGAATGGCATCTAATACAATCCTGGGGTTCACAACTTCGTAGGAAGCAGAGGAGAAAGCTGCTGTTAAGAGTTAGTTCATTCAGAAAAGGGACGTTATCTAGATCAAGAGAAGTGTCAAGCCTAGACATGAATTTAAAATTCTTATTCACGTTCCCCAAGTAGCCATCCTGGGAATACGCGTTCTGGTCTGTTCTCAAAAAGAAAAGAAAAAGGTTTGATCTCAGAATGGACTGGAACACAGAGACCTGGTTTTGGCGCGAGCCCTTGAGCATGCACGGATGATGGGGAATCCCTCACTCTTCAGTGTGTGCGGTCAGCACGGCGAATGCCAAGGTGCAAGCTCGGCCGTGTGTCTCGGGCATTTTAACCGCCACGCTGAGGAGTCAGCGACCCTCGCTGCTGACGTCACATGCAGAATGGGAGGCAGTGGTGGCTACAGGGAGACTGCACTTTAACGAAGACAGACAGGACACAGCATCCTCGTTGATTTCTCACACACGGGGGGCTCCGGAGGGAGAGGGTTCCTACCGCCTCTTTAACTAGCTCCTACATCCCTCCTGTCCTCTGGCTCCCCAGCACAGGGAAGGCACCTGCCGTGATCGTGTCCTTTTCCCACTCACCGTTCTCATCGACAGCGAGGACGCAGGCCCCTTTGGCCAGCAGCTCCTCCACCACGGCCTTCAGGCCGTTGCGCGCAGCGACGTGCAGGGGCCTGAGAAAGAACACAGGGCGTCAGGTGGGATACGCGTTTGTGTGAGATGTGCCATTTGGGCAGCCTGCGTTGTTAAGAGGCAGCAAGTAGGTAAGACTCCATACATAGCCTCTGAACGTTTTTACTGGGGAAAAAAGAGATTTGCTGACCAGATCTTGTCCAGGTGCTAATGACCCAACAGTTCTTCCGAGTTGGCCCAGATTTCTCTGCAAATATCACAAATACTCTGCATCTCAAACAACCTCAATGACAGTAGATAGGAAGACAGAAGAACTCAAGCTCTGGGGCATTTTCTAGAAGGTTCTTTAACCCTTGAGCTGTACGCTTGCATTGGAATCACTGTTTCACCCAGTTCATCAATATGACTAATATCACTCATATATATAATCTCAAATCTCTTTGTTATTACTAAGTGATATTTTATTGAATTTAGAACATCTTAAAGAACAATGTCAAAGTTAGTATATTCTGCTATTTATTCCTTAAGAATTTTAATGAAAAATGCTAATATTCTTTGCCCTTTAAAACAAATACATAATTTCCTAAAATAGAAAATAAAACAGCTTTTATTTATTTATTTATTATTAATTTTAGTCCTCACCTGAGGATATGCTTATCTTTTAATTGATTTTACAGAGAAGAAGAGAGATAGAAAGAAACATCAACTGGTTGCCTTCTGTATGCACCCCAACCGGGGATCGAACCTGCAACCTAGGTATGTGCCCTGACTGGAAATCGAACCCACAACCTTTTGGTGTCTGAGATGATGCTCTAACCAGCTGAGCCACATGGCTAAAGCTGAAGCAGCTCTTAAGTTTTTCACACTGAGGATAACACTGAATCACATTAAAATGTAATTAAGACAAATGGCTTAGAAACTCTTCAAATATATTCTGGGAACCTAATTTATAAAACTGTCATTTTCTAGTAAGAACACATAATGCTAATACATTTTACCAGTATACAAATATTTCCCAAATAGGTCAGCCCATACGTTTTTCTAATCACCCAGTAAATTTATAATATTACCATAGAAATATCAGCAAAGAAAAACACAGACCTCACACGTCTCTATGCCGGCATATCAAAATGCAGGTTCTAACGGAAACTGCCTAGCTGGGTCTGAGCTGCAGGTGTGTGACTAAACTTCACGAAGGAGAGGCGGGTCTGTGCTTTCACTGCTGTGTCCCAGCTCCAGCCTGGCACAGAGCTAGCTCTTCACATGTGTTGAATAAATGACTAGGAATTTGGGTCTGAGTCCAGCTCTAGCCATCACACTTACGTCTGCAGTGCATTGTTTTTGGCATTAATAAGGCTCTCGTCTTGTATCTTGTCAAGTATTAACAAGGCACATTTTTCATGACCCTAGGGAAGAAAAAGAAAATGATCAGAAACTCAGGATGGAGACTTAGAAAAGTTCCAGAACAATCACTTCATTGGGCTTTAGATGTGAAACGAAGGTCCTCTGCCTGTATACATGTTATAAGGCCATCATCTGAGTAATTCCTTTTTCTTCTAAAAAGCAAATAGTCCCAGGGCCCTACATTCTCCAAGATTCCAAATGAGGTCCCATTAGGATTTGGTTAATATAAATCTGATCTGAAATACTAACATTTCTAGGATAAGTTTTAGAACTAATGTCCAGGGAGCTGAAACCGATATGAATTCAGCCGGGTCAGCTGGTAAACAGGGAGGAGAATTAGAAGTATCCTTCAACATCACTTTTTAAATGTAAGTCAAGTCCCATCTCCTTCCTCAAGTCTTCATGATTGACCACTTCCTTGATCCATTTATTCTTGAAGTTTGCATGTTTCCTATTATCTGTCACTCATCAGTTACTGCCTTATATTGTGAAAGGATCCTTTTTCAAGAAAGCCTATTCATCTCCTCCTCAGCCAGGGGAAATGATCTCTGCGCCTTATGACAACAGACAGTCGGTAATTTTAATGGATCCGTCAGAGGCGCTTTCACGGTTTCAGGCCTGCGCTCCGTGAAGGTACTGGCTTCCTGAGCCCCTGTGACCCGAAGCATCAACATCAGCATCACCTGGCACTTAGCGACGTGGAATCTCAGGCCCCACTCCCACCCTCCTAAATCAGAAGCTGAATTTTAACAATATCCTCAGGTGATTCAATGGCACAATAACGTTTGAAAAGCATTGCATTTATAGTCATGAAAACTACACCTTGAAACACACTTGATGAAACGGAGCACTTTTTGTGGTTTCCCTGGGACACCCTGAACATGAAGTGAGAAAACGCAACTGATGAGAGGAACAGCTGAGACTGCTGGTGCCGCTGGATACAGATAACACTTTTAATGCTGGAACTATCCTATATAATAAAACCCTAATAATGTAAATCGACCGAATGGCTGAACGACCGGTTGCTATGATGCGCACTGACCACCAGGGGGCAGACGCTCAGCACAGGAGCTGCCCCCTGGTGGTCAGTGCGCTCCCACAGGGGGAGCCTGCTCAGCCAGAAGCCGGGCTCATGGCTGGCAAGCGCAGCAGCAGTGGCAGGAGCCTCTCCCGCCTCTGCTGCAGGCGAGCAGTAAGAAGTGAAGGGTCCCGCACTCCGAGAGCCCCAAACTGTGAGAGGGATGTCTGACTTCCGGCTTAGGCCCGATCCCGGCGGGGAATGGGCCTAAGCCGGCAGGCGGACATCCTCCAAAGGTTCCTGGACTGCAAGAGGTCACAGGCCTGGCTGAGGGACACTCTCCACCCCCCAGTGCATGATTTTCGTGCACCAGACCTCTAGTACTGAAATAAACACCATCACTGGTGTCAGCTGCCATCATACCACAATGCCTTAGAAGGGAGACCCTTAAATATAACTTTAGAAATATCCACGGAGGTTTCATTCTGATATACTACTGGTGGAGTGTAAATAGTTAAGACTTCATTTTAGGGGAATTTGGACTTTAACATGTTCATAGCCCAGGCTCAATAATTTCACATTTAGACATTTAGTTTAAAGGAACAAGGCTTCCTAAAACATTGCAGCACAGTTATTATTATGTAGAGTAGCTTGTATTTGAAAACAAGCAAATGTCTAATGGGAGAGGGTAGGCTGCGTAAAGGGTGGCACATTCCTAAGGTAGAGAGTACCATGCATCTTCGAAAACATTATGAAATGTCTACACAAGAAAGCTATTCATAACATGTGACTCAGGAACAAAAGCAGGTTGTAAGCAGTATGATCCCGCTTCTGTGAAATCACATTCCTATGTGCCATTTATCTTTTGCTGAAGCAGTGAACACAATGCTATTTTTAAAAAAAAACAAAAACAACAACAACACCATACACACAAATGCGTTCTTTGCATTGGACTATGCACCGGAAAAAAGGGAGAGGGTAGACCTGCACACGAACACACTGACTTGCCTCACAGGATAGCATTTTTGGGCTGTGTTATTACAAGGCCTTCCAACGAAACAAAATGAGAACAAGTGGAGAGGCTCATATTCTAGAAGCCATGTATCTGAGGTCCTAATGTGTGTTTATAACCAAAAGGCGGTACCACAGACACAGTGGCAGCATCAAGCCACACTGCAGCCAGCATGCAAGTGGCCAATGCCACGCAAAGCACATCCCGTCCACCCGTGTGGTACGCCCTTGCTTTTCCTCCTCCAACTCTGCTTAGAGGGGCCAACATCCTGGGGAAACGGACCTCTTAATTAGGGGCCATGATACGCACTTTTGAGGTAGAATTAAGTGGTATTTATCATCATCATCATCATCATTACTATTATTATTATACTGAATAACAGTGTGTCATATTCCCTTACATACTTTACTACACGCCAAATGCAAGGGTGTGTTCAAGTCCTTGTCCTTCACAGACAGGTCAGCCTGGGCGCTGTTCACCAGAATGTCTATAAAAAACAAAACAAAAGAAAGCTACTCAGACTATATGCCAATTACATGTACTTTAAAGAAGTTACTACAGAAACAATAACAGATCTAAATCAGTGCAGCTCACATTATCCTATTTCATGTGTTTAAGAAAAAAAGGAACCACTTATGGCCACGTGTGTTCTAGCCAAATCCAAGGCCTATAAGTGCATCCGTTGTTTGACAATTTTATTCCCGGGTACAATGATTCTGTGTTACCTCTGGCTTCTCAACGTCAAGAGATTTCCCTGCTGAGAGGTTGGCTCACTTGGATCAGGCCCACCAACCAGCCAGTAACGGGACTGCGGACAATGAGCAAGTGGAGCCGGTGGCTTAGATAATGTGTTGGTCTTTTTATGGGTAGATAGCAAGAGACTAACGGCTTTCTTGCTTGCCCATGCCTTTGGTTTTGGACAGGCACGGATGGGCATCCCCCCTCGGGCACGTACCCACGGCGCCCGCCTGCCCGTTCTCTGCGGCCATCATCAGCGCCGTCTTGCCCGCGTCGTCGGCCGCGTTCACCTGGGCGCTGTGTCTCAGCAGGAGCTGCAGGCACTCCACGTGGTCAGCAAAGGCTGCGGCATGCAGCGGCGTCCTGGCGACGGAGCAAGCGGCGTTAGCTTCCTGGGAACCTCACACCCGCTCTCCGTGCACGCCAGAGAAACACGGCAGGTTCACGGAGATGACCACCAGGCCCCTCGGCAGGGTCACCAATGTGGGGGGGGGGGTGAGCTGGTGGCCCTGATCATGAAATTAGCATCTTTGTTGACCGCTTTAATCTTGAGTCCCAGTGGCTTTTCTCTCCCCTTGGATAAAGATACTTTCAAAATTACACCTTAAATTTGTAGATCATTGGCTATTTTTCTAAAAAGCCCACGTCATCTAATGTGAATGACTGATTTTTTGGGGGAGGACAACCTGGCATTACTTGTCAAATTTAAAAACTACTGGCCTTTTAACCACTTCTAGGATTTTATCTCCTAGATACACTTGGGTCATAGGACCAGGCACATATAAACTGCACCACCCTTTGAAATAGCAAAGTACTGGAAACAACCTAAATATTCTTCCATAACGGGCAGGCTGATTAAGTTATAATATATCCATTCAGATGAATAATATTCAGCCTTAAAAAGAATATGGTAAATCTAAGGGTTTTAGTATTTGGGAAGATCTCCAAGATATACTAAAAGCAGAGCATTGCTATAGAGTGCTCCATTTGCACATAAGGGATATAAGCACATATATTTTACAGATGTTTGTAGCTGTGCACAGACAATATGTGAGGGAATATACACATTTGGAAAGGACAGTTTCTAGTGGCTTCCTCCGTGGAAGAGGCTGGGGCTGCTGGGCCGAGGAGGAAAACTTGTTTTAATTATATGTCCTTTCCAATACTTAATTAAAAAACATGCTTACATATTACTTTTCCATTTAAAAACCAAATAAAAGAGGTTTGGCCCCTCTGCAACCACAGGGCAGAGACTGGGATTCGTGGGGAGGAGAGGCATGCTATCCTGGGTCACTCACCTGCCTTTGTCGTCCCTGCAATTGACAATGCTGGAATCTATGGCCCCCAGCAGCAGTGACGCACAATTCTCATGGTCATTTATTCTAAAACGAAAAGTAGCATTAAAAATCTCACCACTTAAAAAGTTATATATCCCCTCCTAGTCCATCTTCCCATGCACTGTATACTTAACAATCTGATGGTGGTTGTTTTTTAAGTCTGATGCAAATATCTGTGGCCTATGTTCTGGTAAAACGTTTAAAGAAGACAACTTAGGTGATATAAACGAACTTTATCTAACACTTCCTGAAGCGGGCAGTCTCCACTCTGAAGATTTTGGAGAATCGCCTGCTCCAAGAAGGGTTGAAGCCTGTTTATCTGACCGAAGTTGTCTCCTTTGCTTGTCTGAACAGCTGTGGCGAGGAGGGTAGGATCTGAAGCTGAAGGTCTTGGGAGGAGAAGCTCAGGAGGGCACCCTCTTTACCCCGAGTTCACTGGGAGCCGTGGGTTAGTCACTCTGGGATTTGAGCTCCACTCTCTCACAGATCCAAACAAATTATATCCAAATTTTTAAAGGAAAGAGGTTTATTAAGGTTCCTGGAAAGGTCCTGGGACAGTTATACTAAGAGTCCACAGCCAGGGACAGCTGCTAACACACTAACAAGGACTCCGAGAAATCAATTAAGACAAGAAATTGTGAGCAACAGCACCTCAAAATCTAAGTGGCCACAACTTGGAGCAAAATAGGTCCAGGGACATAGAAGCATAGAAGGTGAGATTGTGGAATCTCAGAAGGAAGGTGGGGGAGGGTGGGAGGTGGGAGGTGATCAACCAAAGACCTTGTCTGCATGTATGCATAACCCATGGTCACAGACAATAGGCGGGTGAAGGCCTGGGGTGGGGGTTGGGGAGTGGGCTAGAAGAGGTCAATGGTGGAAGGAGGGGGACATATGTAATACTTCAACAATAAAGATTTAAAATAATAATAGTAAAGCCTTTAGGGTGTCTGCCACTATAAAAAAAAACAAAAACAAAAACAAAACCTTGTGAGAGAAATAATAGGCCTATTGTTCATGGAATCGTGGAAGCCAAAGCTGAAAAACTGGAGGGCAAGGGTGGAGTGCTTCAAAGCTGTTAGAGAGCGCTGGCCACTCACATCACCTGTGCCAGGGCCAGCTGGTCAGGGAGCAGGCTGGATCGGCACTAGGTCACCCACCAACCTCAAGAAAGTGTCCACCTGGGTGCCCATGACCCAGCAGGCTGACATGGAAGTCTGACTTACAGTCCCTGTACTCTCTGGACAATGGTTCACACATTGAGATTGGAGCAAAAACTACATATAAAAAACCTTACAACATACGAAGAAAGGGAATTACCATACATGAAAAGTCTTCCTGGTAGAAAATGTCTTTCTAATCATTCGCAGGCATATTTTTAGAATTTGGCTGCAGGTGTGAAGTATACCTGAAGAGTATGGGGTGTCAGGTGCCCCTCAGGCCACCTCTTCATGCAGTTTCTCTAAGGTGGCATGTGAGCCACCTTGGAGCCACGGCCTTTCATAGAAATCTCCTGGAAATCATTAACATTAGGGACCACACTTCGCTCTCAGACCTATTTGCCTTTAGCAGCAAAATGGAATACACTGGTCTTATCTGTAACGTGAAAGCTTTTTCCTTTCCTAAAGGGCAATTTTTCTACGTGTCGTTGAAGGAATTAAAGCAGCACCATTGACTTCTGGCATCTCTACTTACATCGCACAGTGCAGTGGAGTAAAGGGATTGCCGATAAATTCGCGAAAACATTTCTGCTCCAAAAGTACCTCTATACAGTTTTCATTACCTGCAAGGAAGCAAAAGAATTTAGGAAGTTTCTAAGAATGAAATTTTGTTCAACACAATCAATTTTTTTTTGTCATTAAGAACTGAATTCTGGCTTATGTATTTTCCTGAATAGGCTGAATGCTCAACCTCCACGGAATGAAATTCACAAAATGCCAACATGTTATTGACTATGCTCATAGGAGTTCTGAGACATAATGAACAAATAAGACAATGAAAGCCATATGGTCTGATGGAGAGAACGAGATGGAGAAGGGACCTCATTTGCAAGCAGAATCGATTCTATGTTATGCTCAGCTCTTGATAGGTAGACATCTAACACATCTCAGTTTGCCCATATTTATAACAGGAAATTTCCCCTTCACCCATGTGAGTAAATTCACTTATAATTATGGACCCTAGTGAAGGGGAGAAGATGTGATTGATAGAAAATAGCAGGTGGAAGGGTAAAATGCTGAGTGTAAAATACTGTATAAGTGTTTAAAATGGCACCAAGACCAGCTCCTGGCAAACAATGTGTACCCAATAAGTATTTTTAAAAAAATAAGTAGAGGAATGAATGTGAGGAATTATTTTCAACAAAATGACAAGTAGTTTCCAAATCAACTGAATTTAAGTTAAGGCCTCAGCTCTGTTGGCTTCCTTGTCACGTGATCCAAAGCAACTCTCCTGGGATCTGTGAGCCTCAATTTCTCATAGATAAGAAATCACACGAGGAAACTTGCCCTACCGATGTCATAGGATGATGGGAGCTTATGGATAAAGGGCCTGAATGTGGTCTGTGAAGGGATGGACAGCTATTAATGCCAAACTATTTGGCTTTGGAATACAGATTGTTGTCCTGGAACCTCCTGTCGGCTGAACTCAGGGCTGAATTCTCAGCTCTCTCATGATCTACCTCAGAATGACGAAGATCAGACAATTTTAAGTATTAAAACACAACCCAAACCTTTCTTTTACCTATAAAGAGAAAAAGGGACACTGCTTGAAGGAGGGTTAAAAACATACAAAGTAATGAATATAAAAATCCCCTAACTTTAGGTAAGTTACACTGTTTAGCTTTCCACCTATAGCCAACCCTCCCTTAAACACTTCACACCCTCTATTAGTATGAATCCCCCACAGGATCTACTTAGGGAAGTGTCTACACACACCACTCTTTGGGACTCTATAAACCCCAACCTAAGGGTCTGTGTAGACAGGACTGGGCATCCTTGAGTGCCTTGAGGTATTTCACAGTGCTCGGTGAAGGGGATTCTGGGAAGATGGGAGCTTGACCCTCAGACCCGGAGGGAGACTGCACTGGAACTGCTTAGGGGGGGGACTACTCCCCTCCCCTGCTTGCACCAGGAGAGGCCTCAGAACAGAGACCTACCACCCTCCTTCCCCTCATCTCGGGGGAGAGGATGTGGTCGGTGAGTTTGCCACCTGCCATTAGGCCAAGACTCTGACTGCGCCTTCCCCTTCCTGCCAGAGAGATCTCCAGGTTTGACCCAGATGGGGCTTAGGGGGCCCTCAGCCACTGGTAAGTAAAGAATCACAATCCTCCAGTAGCAGGGAGGGACCAGCCAAGTTGAGAAAGTAGAAAATATGGCTCTTCCTGGTCAGAGCCAATGACGAAAGAGGACTGTAATGAAAATGAAATGTTGTAAATGAGAGCACCCCAGAGTTTCTGACTGAAAATATTTTTAAAATATATTTTTATTGATTTCAGACTGGAAGGGAGCGGGAGAGAGAGATAGAAACATCCATGATGAGAGAGAACTACCGATCGGCTGCCTCCTGCACGCCCCCGACTGGGGATCAAGCCCCCAACCTAGGCATGTGCCCTTGACCGTGGGAGCCTTCAGTCTGCAGGCCAATGATCTATCCACCGAGCCAAACTGTCTAGGTGAAAATTTTAATATAAGAATTGCAAATGGAAAAATAAAATTATAGAAACAGAGTAGAAAATATATGGGAAAATATCCATATAAACTTACAGGTGGGAGACCTTAAGCAGGACTGGAAACCTAGATCCCAGCAAATAAAAATATATGACGGACTCAACTACACAAACGTTCAAAATTTCTGCATGGAAAATGACATCATAAACAAAGACCAGAGACAAATGACAGACAGAGAGAAAACACTGGCAGCACATAGCACATGCAGGGAGGATTCCTATCTCTACGACAAGGCACTCCAGCAAACGCATGAGGAAAGATAAAACTCATTAAAAATAAGCAATAGATGGAAAAGGTCATTTCCAGAAGATGAAATACCAATAAATAAATACACTGTTAGACAGGGAAACACAAACCAAAGTAATGAGATAACCTTTTCTGCCCTTCAAACTCACAAAAAGGAAAAAGATGCTATCTTCCTGGGCTGGCAAAGGCTTGGAGGAAATATAGGTCTTATACACGTTTGGGGGAGTAATAAATTACACCCTTCTTGCAAAGTAACATGGTGTAATTTATTAAAGTTAAAAAACACACATGTCCTCATCAATAGTTTCCCTTCTGGAAACTTATCGGACAGAATTAAGGTACATACTATGAACAGACACACACTGAAGCCTCGTTTTAACAGGAAAAAACCTGAAAACAATCCGAATGTCCATCCCCAGGGACCCGGTTGAATAAATAATAAATTGTGATACACACACATCTATATTGATTTATCTGCTATGCAATATACTAAGGAGATCAATCATTATCGATACACAATAACTTGCAGGATATCTGCGATAGAATGTATATAGAAGTAGATGCGGACAAAACTGACTCCACCTCTGGGTCCCGGATTTCTCTTCTGCTGTGACCTTCGATCAGCCTCACTGAGCAAGCCTATCAGAGCCTTGCAGTTGATGATTATCAGTGTTCCATAAAACCTACCATAAATGTTTTTGTTAGTAACCGCCAGAATGCCATGGCAACCAGAATAAATATTAACCTGGTGATAGGATCCATTATGAACCATCTTCCGTCGCAAGACCACCAGGAGGTATGGCCCCTGGTGCCACTGCATTCTTTTTTTTTTTTTTTAATGTTTTTGTTGAATTTAGAGAGAGGAAGGGAGAGGGATAGAGAGAGAGAAACATCGGTGAGAGAAAAGCATTTATTGGCTGCCTCCTGCACGTCCTCCACAAGGGTTTGAGCCTGCAACCAGAGCATGTGCACTGACCAAGAATCGAACCAGTGACCTCCTGGTTCACTGAGCCATACCGGCTGGGCACTACCGTACTCGTTGACTGCGTTCTTTGTCCCTTTGTCTTATCAATCATTAGTACCTGAGTTATACCATAAAAAAGTACTGTAACAGGGGTCTCTTAGCAGAGAATCATCTGTGCAGAGTGCTGGGTTGTCTGTCCGCTCTGACCCTACCTCCCTGTAAGGAAATGATCCTGTAATCCTTTCTGTTACAGTCTATGGAGTTGCCTACATCGTTTTTCGTCTGCAGACATCTTCTTGTTCAGGTGGCCATTATATCTGTGCCCCACCATGTTAAATAAACAATAGCAAAAAAGAAAGTTATAGAATGATAGTTGTTCTATGATTCTAGTTTAAAAAAAACAAATGCACATACATTTGTATTTATATCCTCAAGGGGAAAGTATTAAAGGTACACACCAAATTACATCAGAAAGCAAGTTTGGAAATGGAGACTTAATTCTACCTTAGACATGTCAATATTTTTAAAATTTACGATGAGCTTGCATTTCTTTTTTACTCAAATAAGTGAAATAAGAAATGTTAGATCTTCTGAATTATAAGTGCGACAAAATAAATGGGGGAAATGAGATATAAAAGAGGAAATGCCCAAAGACAAATCACTCATCTAGAAGTCTGACTGGTTGTCAACTGTAACAGGTCTTAGCTGTGTTATTTTCATTCACTGTAGGGTCCCTGGTTATATCATGTAGCATCAGAAACTTTCATTAAAACTGGTTATTCAGCCAAAACCGGTTTGGCTCAGTGGATAGAGCGTCGGCCTGCGGACTGAGAGGTCCCGGGTTCGATTCCGGTCAAGGGCATGTACCTGGGTTGCGGGCACATCCCCAGTAGGAGGTGTGCAGGAGGCAGCTGATCGATGTTTCTCTCTCATCGATGTTTCTGACTCTCTATCTCTCTCTCCCTTCCTCTCTGTAAAAAATCAATAAAATATATTTAAAAAAAAAAAACTGGTTATTCATTCATTAGAAGTCCTGATTAGGAGTTTTATGTTATTAATTAGCAAAAAGGGAGAAAGTGAATTTTTATTCCATTAAGGCATCATAGTAGCCAGGAAGGGCAACATACTTAAAAAAAACACAACAGAAAAAAGGTGTCTCAGATGCAGAAAGATTGGCAATCAAGGTTGACAGCGTTGTGCTGCTTTCCCTCCCCTGAGATCCCAGTGGTGCCGGGTTCAGAGGGAACCCACTGGACTCAGTCGCACGGCAGTCCGCTCACCATTGTAGCAAGCCCAGTGCAGCGGCGTGTAGCCCTGGTTGTCCTTGAAACAGCAGTCTTCCTCCGACAGGGCCATCTGCAGCAGCTCGCTCAGCCATGTGGCGTGGCCGCGGGCCGCGGCGTAGTGCAAGGGGGTCCTCCCTCTGGCATCTTTGCAGAGAATTGAGACTTCTTCCTCCAGCAGCATCTGCACACATTCCTCATGACCCGACATGATCTAATCGATTGCATTGAAAACACAAAAGTCAGAAGGGCAGCGGCTCGGGATGTGAAGCAGGCGGCTGAGTGAGGCTGGGCTCAGAGTCAGAGGACATGCATGCCCGGGCCTCACGGGAGGACTACCCAGCCAGATTCATAGCAGAGAAGTCCGTGTGGACATCAGCATGTGGGAAACATCTCGACTCTCCAGACATAACCATGAAAGGTACTACGATATAATGGAACACATGAGCGTTAGAATCAGGAAGGTGTGAGCTAAATCCTGGCTTCCCCTGGTAAAGCTTGGACAAGTCAATTCACCTGTCTCATTTCATTTACCTGTACCTGGGGATAGTAATAAGGACCCCACAGGTTGTTGTGAGGACTGACGAGATAAGGTACGTAAAGGCCCCAGCCTGTTGCATGGCCCACAGGAAGTCCCCAAGAAATAAGAACGAGGATGAGCACTTTGACCACTGAGAGTTCCTCTCCTGTTCACTGACCATGGTGGTTGGCACCAGCCCAAAGAGCACTTTTATTTCTGCTTCTGTTTGATTTCGTTTCCTCGGCATGCTTTAAAAAACAACTCAGCAGAGGTATACAAGGAACTGTCACAGGATACATGCTTCAGGCGGGGAATGGGTCAACAGTCAGACATAGCATGGCTACTCAAGACTAAGCAATCACTGGAATAAATTATGGCACCTGCATCCAATGGACCATTAAAAATGATAGAGCAGGAAAATATTTACTGATATGGAAAAGGTCCTCGATATTCTAAAAGAAAAAAGTAGGTTCCAAATAGTATCTTCAGTATTCTCTTTTTAAATTTTTTTTTTAAAAAAATAAATCTATATACAGAAAAGAAGATTTGGTATATAAACCAAAAAAATGGTTATCTCCAGGAGGTAGGATTACTAGTGATTGTAACTGTTTTCTCTGTGCTTTGAAAAAATACTTTGCAAAATTTCTATGCTGTGCAAGTATTTTGTCATCTGAAAGTAGAAGCAATTCTACCAACAGTAGGAGTTCATGGTTCTGTTATCACAATCGACCATGAAATCGCAAGAGCAGGACCTAAGAGTACCCGCCACTATTTTACTTTTGCAAAAGATTCTGTAATTTCTTTTAGGCTGACTGAGGTTCATTGGTTATCCTAGGAGACAATATTTTCACTAAAAACTCATATGGGAAGTAAAGAGGAAGTGTTCTGATTACACGATGGCTTGACTGCGGCTGAGGAAGACGTACGTACCCCTCTGTGCAACGCTGTGCATCCCATGATGTCAACAGCATCTACATTTGCTTCCTTTTCAAGTAACAATGAGACAGCATCAATGTGTCCATATGCTACTGCCAGCATCAGTGGGGTTCTAGGAGAGAGAAAGATTGGCTTTTTAGAAGAAAATTAAAACAAAATGCTCATTACTTCCAGTGGGAGTAACTCCTTCTCTTTGTCACTCTGTCTGTCTCTGTCTCCATCTCTCTCTCTCTCTCTCTCTCTCTCTCCATATATATATCTGCCTCTGGCATCTAATGGCCACCTGGAATGGTGTCAGTGGGATGACTGATGTGGGTGGGGCCGGGGAGGCTCCTTCTCAGGATGGTCACTGCAATCCCATCATTTTCAGAAGCATTTCGAAATATCAACCGAGCAGGGAGTGCGTGCGTGAAGGAGACCCTCTCGCTCCTATCAGAGTAGTTCGACCTTCATAGAGTTCTGCGTTGGCATTTGCTCAATGTTTCACTTGACCAAAGTTTGCTGCCTTCCAGAAAAGCCTGGCCAACACGGAGGAAAGAGCAGAGAGCTGGGGCCCAGGAGGGGGCATCCTAGCTCCCACTTCGACACTGACTCACATACCGGGGGTGAGGCGCTCGTGCTGGCTCTGCCTTTCCTATCTGCAAGAAGACTGGGGGCAGGAACAGGCCATCAGGTAGGAAGGACTTGGGAAAAACAAACCCAAGGAAGGAGGCAAATATGGAGGATTTTTATGATGGAGATAACTTCTTGAGGCCATTGCCATTATTAATATGAACATCAAAATGTAGCAGCTTCAAAAGAGGGTAAAATGGGTAAGAAGAAGGAGCCAAGGAGGACTATTTTTCAAAGGCCAGGGTACATGGCCCTAGACATACAAAGAACCTTTTGAGCTCGGCGTGTCAGCATTTTGAAAAACCCTAACTTAACTCTGGTGCCGTGTCACATATAGAAATTTTTTGATATTTGCAACCATAGTAAAACAAAGATTTATATTTTTGATATTTATTTTATATATTTAAATGCCATTTAACAAAGAAAAATCAACCAAAAAAATGAGTTCGAGTGTCACCTCTGACACGCGTGTCATAGGTTCGCCATCACTGCCCAAGACATACAAAGTTGGCTCTTTTTCATCAACACACACACACACACACACACACACACACACACATACACACACATACACACATATACACACACACACATACATACACACACACATACATACACACACACACTGCATTTAGGTAGACTCTCCTAAGTCCCGTGGTGACATTCTTTAGAGTTAATAGAGCTATTGTAATCATCATAAGCTGCGTCTTTTTCCATATGAGCAACCATAGCCCTACTTTTGCCCGTCTCTGCATATACTCTGACACGAAGCTACCTCATTATTCCAGGGTCCTCAGCCAGTGAATTTCACCCAAACATGTACCCCCCAACCTCACGCTCAGCAGTCAGCCCTCCCAGCGGCTAAACCAACCAACCATCACCCACCGTGACTGAAATCAACCGCCGGCCCGGCCCGGGGGGGGGGGGGGGCACTTACTGTCCTTTGGCATCTTTCACGTCAACTACTTCCGGGTTGTCTGCGATTTCTAGTAACAGCCGCAAACACAGGGTGTGACCATTAATCACTGGAAGAGAAAAGAACGGGCATTCTGTTAACAGACCCACAGGATCACACACAGCCCTCCAGAGTGAAGTCTGCTTGGGCTCTAAATCATTGGTCTTCAACCTGCTGTCCCCACATTCCAGGTCATACCCGCCGCCGGCACAGTGAGCCCCGAGGCTGACTTCACTCATCCATCTTCTCCTTCTTCCCAGCAGGGCCCCTTGGTCCTTACCGAACTGGTCCCTGGTTCATGCCCTGAGGGTTATTTTCCCTTAAACATGATGTCCTTTTTTTCAAATCTCTTTTTTTCATTTCTCCCCACTTCCCAGTTCCTTTTGCTCTTCTGAGAGAGTCACACAATAGTACTATGTAATCCGGTGTCCTGCCTGCCTTCAGACCTTTTTAAAAAGAAGGAAGAAAGGACAGGAGAGCGGAGTGGAGGGGAGAGAGGGGAGGAGGAATACGATGGAAGGAGGGGATAGGGAGGAGGTGAAGCAGAGGAGAGGCTAGAAGAGGAAGGGAGAGAGCGAACAGGTCCTGCTACTACTCCCTCCGTCACTGTACATTCTGCAGGCATCCAAGTAACCGTTCTTATTGACGCACAGTGACTTACAGCAAACCCTCAGGCCGGGGAGGAGTACAGAGGCTGCCCACTCACTGCTCGTTGATTGACAGCCTGGACGGGCTGCCTGCAGGGGCACCTCTGGCCCAGAGTTCCTCAAACCACAGCCTGACAGTGTCTCATGCATGCAGGGGGAAGGGCGGGGGGTGGGGGGGCTCTCCATCAGCCTCACACTCCTGGTCCCCTGACCTCCCCTCCCCTCCCCTCCCTTCCCCTGCTGAGGTCTCCTCGCCACTTCCCAGGTGCTGCGGGTCCTCACCCCTAACCACCAGCGGTCACAGCGAGGGCTGGCAATGGGCACGAGGCGCAGCCAGGACACTGCTGCTGGCCTCGACCAGCTCGGGCACATCACATGACACCCTTATGATAGGGGCAGAAATAGAATATTGGGGACCAGCTGTAATTGTAAGAAATATGAATCATGCCCTGTTCACCGGGATTGGTTTGTTCTGATGAAAGAGGCACATTCTAACCTGGCTGGTTGCACGTGGGACCTGGGAGCTCACCTGGAAATGCAGCCCACCCTCCCCATGGGGAGTGGCCTGTTATCATGGGAAGATGAACAGCCTTGTTGCAGAAACCAGAGCTGCCAGCCCTGTGAAGACCCCCAGCCTGTGCGTGCCACGCCGCAGGCCTTTGCAAATCTCCAGCCGTGTTACCTGCAAACTGCCCATTTGGCATACCCTTTTGCCTACTTCCCCGTGTAAGCTTTGTCCTTTTACCCAATATAAGCAGCTGGTTTGGGGGGGGGGGGAAGGGCAGATTTTTGTGGATGACCTGCTGCTCCCCATGCTGCCGGCAGTATTGGAATAAATGCTCATATATGATGCAACCCTGTCTCTGCTTCATTGGCTCAAGCAGGGACAGGCAGCCCGGACCCCTTACTGGTTACACTTATGCGCACCAGGCGCGATGCTTCCTGCAGGGTGGCTGCTTCGGGTGCTGGGAGGCGACCCTCCCAGGAGGACAGTCGGGGCAGGAGCAGCTCCCCCCTCCAGCTTGTTGGATGCCACCCACGGCCTCACACAGACATGGCTTCCACTCGGGGAGTAGGCTGAGGACAAGCAATGTGTACGTTTTCCATCGTGACCTTCTCTCCTCTCTGAACAGTGAGGACACTAGCATGCATTGCATTTGCCTCCACATGGATGCGGAGAGAGAAGGGAATAGATGTAGATGCAGCTACGTTAGGTTAATGAGGGCTCTTGGAAGAGCTGCACTTTACAGTCCTTTTATCGAATGCCAGTCAGGAGAGAATGCTAATTCAATGACACGTTTTTCAGGGACAATGCATATCAGAATGAGCTCACGTTCATCGACACCACTCAGCTGAGACCCAGGAATAACGCCCACGTTCTGTGGACCGCTGCTCTCAGCTCATTCTCAGGTACATTTCTGTATCTCAGGAGGAAATTTGGGGACTGGAACACAGGCATTGTATTGTGGTTGCCTTTGGGTTGTTTTCTTTGTTTTAGTAGCGCATTCAACCTGTTACCACGGTACCGCCTGTAGGCGAGCAGTTTACTGTATGCTTAAAAGGAAAGGATGGGCAGAGGACTGGCAGCTAAATGCTATGGCAATGGGTCCCCAAGCATAGGGAGGGTCAGGGGAGTGTGACTGATGCCTCCTTCTTCATCAACCTGACCTCCTTTACAGGCTCATCACCATCATAGTTCCAAGGATATTTGGTTTTTGGCTAAACAGAAAAAGGGAAAAATCATCTAAGTTCCTATCACCGAGCCAGTGTGTTGCAGAGCAAACCAATACCCACAGTAGTGTGTTGGTTTGTGTTTTTTTTTGGGGGGGGGGCGGGTTACTGCTTTTTGGACTGAGCCAATAGCCCTCAGGTAAGTATAAGGCCCCCTTCGTGGATAAGTGCAGCCAAAGTGGAATTCCTGTTGGCTCCCCACACTCTCCATTTCCCCAATGGCTAACGTCTCCTTGGCTGTGCGGGGCCAAGTCCAGCTTTGTCTTAGACTAGCCCCGCCTCCGCTGCTCAAAGACCGCAACTGCCATTGCAACTAGCTGTGCCCAAACCTCTGACATCCATTCTGGCTCCTGCTCCTCAGTATTCCCAGGATTTGAAACAACAACAACAACAAGTTGGCCTTTCAAATGAGTTGGAAGAGATTCAGGGTAAGCAGATTCTGAAAGCACAGGCTAAAGCTTGCACGTCGCAGACATGTTGTGGAGAACAGAGTCGAATGACAGCCTGTGTTGCCCAATGAATGACTTGAGGGACATCCAAAAGGAGTCGGCTTGACCACGAGGGGGCTCCATTGGACCATAACCTATGCAGTGGCAAATGAGTGACCGTGGTTATTTTTCATGGTTCGCTGTTTACAAGAGCGATTCTCCACAATGAAAAGAGGCCCTTTGTCGCTGTCAGGGAGTACCTGGTAACTAAGGCAGGGTGCTTGCCTTACGAGTAGGCAACCAATATTTTAAAAGAACTAAATTTGAACTTTAGAATAATGCCAAGGATGTCTAGAATATCAAACTGTATAATGCTTTACAACAATAGCAAAAAAACTAAATGTGGGTAAAAAATAAGAATTGCAATTTAACCAACCACTGCTGACCTCATGACTAAAGTTTTTTTCCCCCCAGGAATAATTGTTTCCAGGTAATTAGGCAACAGCCATGTTTTGTTTTATTTTTCTACTCCATATTGTTTTTCTTCAGTGGTTTGGAAATTCAGGGTTGTAGGTGGAAATTCTTCTACAAAGTCTAACATTCTGAGGAAATTTTCCCAACAAGATCATTAAATCTACTGGAAAACCATCTTCACTCTTTGCTTCTTCAATACACTCATTTAATGGTATAAGACAGTTATTTCTCATCATAAGACAATATTTACGATCCTGATCAAAGGCAGATATCATTGAATCCCTGACTCCAAAGGAATATATGCCCTCACTGAGCTAGAGGCTCTCCCCATCACTTTATATCTGTGTGTACCTCTAGCAGGTCCTGATACAGTTTGATTGTATGTGTAGTAGAGAAAAATCCCAGAAAAGACAATTAGTTCCTTTTTGATATCCACATGCACTTTTTAAGAGTCTCTTTTTACACCCGATGCACCAAGAATCAGAGCAAAAGCTCAGAGGCCTCATTTAGGCTGGCAGAATGGTGCGCTGATTAGTCCGCTGTCTGATGACTCCTTTTATGAAACAGCCCTGAAATGTCATGAACGTCCCACTTTAAGATGCTGTGTGACTTTGTTCTGTGTGACTATCTGAAGGTCACAGTAGGCCTTGCCCTTTTTCAGAACGTTTTGTGATGACTACTGGCCAAAGCTCTGCACTCTCTTTTGAGTTAAGACCAGATGGAGCACGGAGGATTTTTAGAGCTGGATT